AGAGTGAGACTCTGTCTCAAAAAAAAAAAAAAAAAAAGAACACAGGCTTAAAAATGGAACGATACTCTCATGTAAAATGACCAAGAGCAGAGCTGTTTTGGTCATATTGTTCTCTCTGCCCTTCTTAATCCTCCACTTGCCATGAACCAAGGCAGCTGTGGTAGCCCTCTTTATAGGTTGTCTGACTCCGAAGATCAAAGATCAAGAATTAAAATATCAGAAAAAGCCCAGCCTGGGCCTGCCAGTGAGAATAACAGAAGCAAGCAAAGATATTTAAGAAGCAAGCTTAACTAAAGTAGGCCTCTACAAATACGATGGGGACGCCATCCACATGCCAAGTGTCACCAACGACCACCAGGCACTAGGAACAAGGCGAAACTGACACTGGCCATTACATGATCCTGGGAGGCAACATACAAACACAAGCATGAGGTGCAAGCAGAGGGAGAAGATGTGGTGACTACTATAGAGATGACAGAGGGAGTCCCAAAGGCTGCTCCCAGCAGAGAGCGCTAGAATCCTGTGGTGCCAGAGAAGCCAGTGTCCTGACCATAGAAAGCATGGCTAGCCAAGAAACAATGTGCTAGCTAGATGGGAAAGATTACCAGGACAAGAGGATACCACAGAATCCATATGACAGAAAATGGGAAGCAGCTGGTGCTCTCCTGTGCCATGTCACCAATCTTGCCGGCTAAGAGTATAAGAATTTCATTATTAATAAGAATACTGTCCAGGCTCAGTGGCTCACACCTGTAATCACAGCACTTAGGGAGGCCGAAGCGGAAGTTCCAGACCAGCCTGGCAACATAGTGAGACCCTGTATCTACAAAAAAATTTAAAAATTTTACAAAGCCAGGTATGGTGGCACATGCCCATAGTCCTCCTAGCTACCTGGGAGGCTAAGGCAAGAGGATCATTTGAGCCCAAGAGTCTAAGAGTTGGAGGACAGAGGTGAGTTATGATCTCACCACTGTACTCCAGCCTGAGCAACAAAGCAAGACCCTGTCTCTTAAAAAAAAAAAAAAAAAGACTACCTCTTACCACTTTGAGGATCCAGTATGTGGCAATTAGTGCATTTGATCCTCACACATACACAGACACACACTCACATACACACCACAAAAATTCTGATCTCATTTTAGTGAAAGAAACCAAGGCTCATAGAAATTAAATACATTTCCCAAAGTTACTCAGTTAGTAAGTGGCAGAGGCAAGATATCAATATATTGTAAAACTGCAATAAATGCTACCTATCCCTTTAAAAGTCTATTTGATTTAGTTACTGAAGAACTTTTAAGTTCTCTCACTCTAAAACCTATGCCTGCTCTATGTGCCTGGCAGTGATGCCTTAATCTCCTGAAACACGGGAATGAAAGGAGTGACCACCTTCCTGAGGAAGGTTGGACCCACGGAGGAAAAGAAAGGATAATTTCTTGGCCAATGTAAAATTTGACCATTCTGCAAAAGAAAGATCTTGGGAAGAGACCAAAGGACAGTTTTGATCTTCAAGATCCTAAGGACAGGCTGGGCACGGTGGCTTACACCTGTAGTCCCAGCATTTTGGGAGGCTAATGGGGGAAGATCGCCTGAGGCCAGGAGTTGGAGGCTGCGCTATGATCATGTCACTGCACTCCAGCCTGGGTGACAGATCAAGACCCTGTCTCTAAAAAAAAAAAAAAAAACACATTGTTTTTGGAGAAAGCGTCAAGAACTATATCAGAGAAACTTCTTCAGTCTGGTCAGCCTGCAGTAGGAACAATATTTAAATCTGAATACTCAATTCAAAAGGCCCACTCACAAACTCAAAGGTGGTGTAAAGGAAGGTGATTAGGATGGAGTGGGGACTCACGCTAGGAGAAGGGCAAAATGATTAAAATAAGAACAGTTTTACAATATATCAAGAATTAGTGAATAGAAGAAGGACTTTACTCTTCTGTGGCAGAAGAACAGTAAAGTGCTATGGTGATCTTGGCACAAACTGTATCAAGAAGCAAGAACAAGGCCGGGCACAGTGGCTCATGTCTGTAATCCTAGCACTCTGGGAGGCCAAGGCGGGAGGATCGCTTGAGCTCAGGAGTTCAAGACCAGCCTGAGCAAGAGTGAGACCCCATCTCTAACAAAAATAGATAAAAATAGAAAAATTAGCCAGGTGTGGTGGCACGCACCTGTAGTCCCAGCTACTTGGGAGGTGGAGGTAGGAGGATTGCTTAAGCCCAGGAGTTTGAGGCTGCTGTGAGCTATGATGATGCTACTGCACTCTAGCTGGGGCGAAAGAGCTAGACTCCCTCTCAAAAAAAGAAGCAAGAACAAAACAGAACAGTTGTCCCTATCTCTCCTCCTCACCTCACCTATCACTGTCTACACATCCCCCTTTCCCAGGGCTTCTATGTTTCTTTGTGCTATGCCCAAACAAAAGTTGGTGCCTGTGACATTTTTCCCAGGAGCACCCAGTGGCCACCATTGTGCCCTTCACTGACTTATGTATGCACTGTGTAAGTGCAGGGTAAGCACAGTTCCTCCTGCAGCAGGTATGGCAAGCACGGGGCAGATACCAGAGCACCTCCAAATACCACACACCAGAAATGAAAGAAGAGTAGACATCCTAAAAAACTGCTGCTCAAAACAGAAGGCTGCTAAACGATGGCTTCTTCTTAGCTTATAACGATTACAGCTCCGAGGAGAACAACGTCTACAGGGTTCTTACTTTTATAACTTTGTTGAGGCACTCATCAGCCACCATCCTGACATCTGACTCTGCATCATCACTGCACAGCAGAAACAGTTCCATAGCGATGCCCAGAAGTTTCTGAAATTCTGGAGAATTTCTAAGTGAAAAAAGAAGAGAAACTGTCAAAAGGAGCCTAAGGTGACATGATGACAAAATGTAATGAGGCATCTGGTATTCTGGATGGGGTTCTAGAACAGAAAAAGGACTTACATAAAATTAAGAAAACCTGAGTGAAGCGTAGACTTTAGTTAATAGTGTATTAATATGGATTCATTAATTGTAAGAATTTACTGCTCTAATGTAAGATGCTCATGATGGGGGTAACTGGACGAGGAGTATATGAGAACTCTCTATACTACCTTTGCATGTATTCTATAAATCTAAAACTATACCAAAACAAAGTTTATTAACAAAAAAGAAGAGATTGTATTGGCAAGACAAATCTCAATTTTTCAAGTTTTAGTTTAGAAACTTTTTAAAAGTTAAAGACGCTGCTTCAGATACTTCAATCCCAGACAGGCAACTACTTTCTGCCAAAAGGTTACTTTTACTTAACAATATTCTTAGAACCTTGAAAACTACTATAACAACATATCTTTTATTCCTTTTTAATCTTGCTTTCGATGTGTCCTAAAGTATAACCATATTTCACCCTAAGATGCTACATGATCATGGTCAGATTGCTTTTGTTGCCCTAGATAGACTACCGCAGTGTCATAAAAACTGGAGTCTGTGTACTGTTTGTAAATTATTTTAAAATGTTTAATGAGAGAGCCTGTTTAGGCTGTCATGATCCAACTGGCTAAACACAGCCAAGGAAGAGATAAACTGATGGGCCGGGAACGTGAAACTGATTCCACGGCATTCTAAGCGTCACAAACCAGTAATACAAGGGATGTTCTTGAGGTAATCCCAAGAATAGCAAATCCCAGTAATACAGGGGATGTGCTATTTTTGAAACATCAAAATCAGATTGCTGTTTCATGATCTCAATCTAAAGCACTCTGAAACGGAGTCCCCATTCCTCTTTGTTTCTAGGAAATAATTCCCATCAAGTCAGAAGACAGCCATGAGCCTAAGAGACAGCAAAAGACTGCATCAACAATGATTAACAAACTCATAAAAGCAAGAAACAAAATTTGCCACTTAGCAACATTTCAGACCTTCTCTAAGTAGAATACAGCCAGAAATAAAGAACTAAGGAGGAAAGGCCTCTGAACTGCTAGAACGGCACGCAAACACTGTGCTCCAAAGCACTACCATTCAACAGAAAGATAATGTGAGCTAATGTGTAATTTTATATTTCCTAGTCAACACATCAAAATTAAAAAGAAACATGCAAGATTTTAATAATATATCATTTAACCCAATATTTCAAAAATATTTCTACATATAATTAACATGAAGAAATTACTGAGATATATAACAATATTTTTAATAGCACATCTCAATTCGCACACAAAACTTTCATCAGAAATACTTTAGCTGTTAGACCTCACAAAATTCAGTTGAAAAGTAAGTTCATATACCAATTCCAACCATACTTAAAAGCTCTCCAGTAACTAAATCAAATAGACTTTTAAATTTAAATTTAATTAAATAGATATAGGGATAATCAGGTCATCCATTTCTTCTTGAGAGAGTTCTGGTGGTTTCTGTTTTTCTGGGAACTTATCCATTTCATCTAAGTTGTCGAATTTACTAGCATAAAGCTGTTCATACTATTCCCATATAATCTTTTTAATATCTATAAAATCTATACCAACGTCATCACCCTCATTCCTGATATTTATAAGCTGTGACTTCATTCTTTTTTTCCTATCAGTCTTATCAATTTATTAATGTTCTCAAAGATCCAT